TTGAAAACGCCATCACTTGGGTCAGGCACACCTTATTCCTCAAAGTGACGTCTTTACTCTTTCACACCTTAAAGAGGTCATTTGCAGCAGATTTGCCCAATGCAGTATGTCATTTGATTTCCTGACTGCCGCTTCCATGGCCATTGATTGTGGATCCAAGTAAAATGAAATCCTTGACAACTTCAGTCTTTTCTCCATTTATCATGATGTTGCTTATTGTTCCAGTTGTGAGGATTTTTGTTTTCTTTATGTTGAGGTGTAATCCATTCTGAAGGCTGTGGTGTTTGATCTTCATCAGTAAGTACTTCAAGTTGTCTTGGCTTTCAGCAGTCAAAGTTGTGTCAACTGTATGTCACAGGTTGTTAATGAGTCTTCCTCTAATCCTGATGCCATGTTCTTCTTTATATAGTCCAGCTTCTCGGATTATTTGGTCAGCATACAGATTGAAAAAGTATGGTGAAAGGATATAACCCGGGCGCACCCCTTTTCTGATCTTAAACCATGCAGTATCCACTTGTTCTGTTCAAATGACTGCCTCTTGGTCTATACAGGTTCCGCCAAAAAAACCTGTTGCTGTTGAGTCTGTTGTGACTCATAGAGACCCTATAGGACAGAGTACAATTGCCCCATAGGGTTTCCAAGGAGTAGCTGGTGGATTTAAACTGCCGACCTTTTGGTTAGCAGTCATAGCTCTTAACCACTGTACCACCAGGGCTCCACAGGTTCCCCATGAGCACAATTAAGTGTTCTGGAAGTCCCATTTTTCACAATGTTATCTATAATTTATTATGATCCACACAGTTGAATGCCTTTGCATAGTCAATAAAACACAGGTAAACATCTTTCTGATATTCTCTGCTTTCAGGCAAGATTCATCTGACATCAGCAATGATATTGCTCGTTCCATACTCTCTTCTTAATCCAGTCTGAATTTCTGGTAGTTCCCTGTTAATATACTGCTGCAACTGGTTTTTAATTATCTTCAGCAAAATTTTACTTGTGTGTGATACTAATGATGTGGTTCAGTAATTTCCGCATGCTGTTGGATCATCTTTCTTTGGAATGAGCACAAATATGGATCTCTTCAGTGGGTTGGCCAGGTAGCTCCCTTCCAAATTTCTTGGCATAGATGAATGAGCACTTCCAGCATTGCCTGTGTTTGTTGAAACATCTCAGTTGGTATTCTGTCAATTCCTGGAGCCTTGTTTCTCCCCAATGCCTTCAGTGCAGCTTGGACTTCTTCCTTCAGTACCGTCGGTTCTTGATCATATGCTACCTCCTGAAATGGTTGAATGTCAATCAATTCTTTTTTGGTACAATGACTCTGTATTCCTTCCATCTTTTCATGCTACCTGCATCATTCAATATTTAGCCCACAGAATCCTTCCATATTGTAACTCGAGGCTTGAATTTTTTCTCCAGTTCTTTCAGCTTGAGAAATGCTGAGCATGTTCTTCCCTTTTGGTTTTCTAACTCCAGGTCTTTGCACATTTCATTATAATGCTTTACGTTGTCTTCTTGAGCTGTCCTTTGAAATCTTCTGTTCAGCTCTTTTACGTCATCATTTCTTCCGTTCACTTTAGCTGCTTTATGTTCAAGAGCAAGTTTCAAAGTCTGTTCTGACATCTATTTTGGTCTTTTCTTTCTTGTTATTTTAATGACCTTTTGCTTTCTTCATGTATGATGTCCTTGATGTCATCCCACAACTCATCTGGTCTTTGGTCATTACCGTTCAATATGTCAAATCTATTCTTGGAATGCTTTCTAAATTCAGGTAGGATATACTCAAGGTCATAATTTGCTTCTCGTCGACTTATTTTAATTTTCTTTAGCTTCATCTTGAACTTGCGTATGAGCAATTGATGATCTGTTCAGCAGTCGGCTCCTGGCCTTTTTTCTGACTGATGATACTGAACTCCATTGTCTGTTTCCACAGATGCAGTCTGTTTTATTCCTGTGTATTCTATCTTGTGAGGTCCACGTTTATAGTCGCCATTTATATTGTTGAAAAAAGGTATTTGGAATGTATAAATCATTGGTCTTGTAAAATTCTATCTTGTGCTGTCTGACGTAGTTTCTATCACTAAGGCCATATTTTCACACTACTGATCCTTCGTTTCCAAGTTTCACATTCCAATCACCAGTAATTATCAATGCATCTTGGTTACATGTTTGATCTATTTCAGACTTTAGAAGTGGGTAAAAATCTTCAGTTTCTTCATCTTTGGCATTAGTGGTTGCTACATAAATTTGCATCATAATTGTGTTAACTGGTCTTCCTTGTAGGTGTATGGATATTATCACTGACATCGTTGCACTTCAGGATAGATCTTGAAATGTTCTTTTTGATGATGAACATATATATATATATGTATATGTGTGTGTGTTTGCATGTGGATAGATAGTATTATAAAACAAATTTGGTAAAGTGTTAACAATGGGAAATCTGGATGAAGGGCGTATGGAGTTCTTTATCCTTACAGTTTTTCTGTAAGGCTGAAATTATCTCAAAGTAAATGAAACATATGTTCCTATTGATGGTGAAAAAGAAACTATTGCAATCTTTTAAAGGATAATTTGATAATATGTATGAAAAACCTTTATATATATATATATTCTTTGAACTAATAATTCTACTTCTAGGAATGAAGCTTAAGGAAATAATCATTGATGTTTGAAAAGATAACATTTGTAAGAGTATTCATTACAGTATTATTTATTATAGCAAAATCTTGGAAATCTCCTAAATATGCAACAATATAGCCACAGGAATGGCTATGTAATTCAGATATACCTATGCATAATATTGTACCAAAACCAAACCTGTTGCTGTGGAGTTGATTCCAACTCATAGTGACCCTATAGGACAGAGTAGAACTGCCCCATAGGGTTTCCAAGGCTGTAATCTTTACGGGAGCAGATGTAGCCTTTAAAAATCATGTTGCAAAAAATATTTATTGTTTTGGAAAAAACGAAGGAAAAAAAAAACCAAACCTGTTTCCATCAAGTCAATTCCAACTTATAGCGAACCTGTAGGTCAGAGTAGAATTGCCCCATAGGGTTTCCAAGGAGTGGCTGGTGGATTTTAACTGTCAACCTTTTGGTTAGCAGCTGAGCTCTTAAAACAATATTATGTGAAAACAATCTAGTTATAAATCAATATATATTATTATGCTATTTTTTGGAAATATTTTGCTCATGAACAATTTTACTTATTGAGATGATATACAAAATGCATACACTAAAATGTTAGTACGTAGTCACTTTTCTGAATAGTGAGGTGGTAGAGATTTTATTTATTTTATTTTAGTAGGTTGGTGCTTCCTAGATTTTCTTCATGGAACATATAATACTTTTGAATGAAAAAAAAAATTATGATGAATGGGATAAGGTTCCCAGCCAATATGCTTAGAAGTCCTTGTATATGACTATGAAGCATGGTTGGAAAACCTTTTGTTCATAGTAACCAAAGTCCTAAGTTACAGTAAATACCCTTTGAAATTAAATAATAGTGATCACTTTCTCAAGAGTATATGGTTACCTTAATAGGAAAGGTGCTGATGCTGGAATAATTCAAGGAGCCCTGGTAGCACAGTGGTTAAAGGCTCAGCTGCTAACTGGAAGGTCAGAGGTTCGAACCCACCAGCTGCTTCATGGGAGAAGATGTGCAGTCTGCTTCTGTAAAGATTTACAGCTTGGAAACCCTATGAGGCAGTTCTACTCTTTCCTACAGGGTCACTGTGAGTTGAAATCCAGTAGACAGCAGTGGGCTTTTGGGTTGGGTAGAATAAAGGTGCACCTGGTTTTATGTCAGTTTTCTCAAATAATATTCCAAAACCACCTGCATAAAAGATTATCTTGGATGATTGTTAAAAAATAAAATACTTTGAATGAAAATCTCTGAGGTTGAAGTCAGTAAATTTGCATGTGTATATAGCTCTCCAAGCGGTTCTTATTTACATAAAGCTTGAGGAATCATGCTCCTTCCTTAAAGATTTACAGCGTTGGAAGCCCTATGGGGCAGTTCTGCTCCATTCTGTAGGGTATCTATGAGTTAGAATTGACTCAATGACAATAGTTTTGTTTTTTGGTTGGGGTTAGACCAAAATGAAAAATATTTCATAATTTGTTCTATAAAAGTATCACAAATGATTCTTTAACTAGAAAACATGTTCATTCTTTCAAATATCATTCTATTTATGAAAAATTGATTTGCATACTTTTAAAGGGCCTCTTTGTTTAAATGATTCACACTCTTATGTCGTAGATTTGGGAACATTTGAGGACTCCTGCTCCTTTTCTCCATCATACGATGACTTTCTTTTCTGTATGCTGTGTACATAGATTTGTTTTTAAGCCAAATTTGTGATAAAGAGTGCTCCAGAAACCACACAGAAGTGCTTATGAGCCCATAGTAGGGTATAGAATAGAGATGAGCTGCTTACTTATATTTTGGGGGCAGAAGTTCATTTACAGGTTCTTGGGTGGTTCAAATGGTAAAGCTGTTGGCTACTAACCAAAAGGTAGTGATTTAAAGCCACCAGAGGCACCTCCAAAGAAAGGCCTGGTGATCTTCTTTCGAAAAGCCACAGCCATTAAAAACCCTATGCACAGTTCTATTCTGCAACACACGGGGTTGCAGTGAGTCAGAATCAACTTGACGCCAACTAGTTTGGTTTAGATCATTTACATTTTTCATATTCTGTGGTTTTGTCAGTTGTCAAGCCTGTCCGTTCCAGAGAGGAAGAAATACATGCCCTTTAACAAGTGCTTTGAAACAGGTGCCTAGTGGAATGATGATTCACGCCGGTCAAACTGTTTAATTATGAGTGTATCTTTTTCTCCCCCCTTATCAAATAGCATGTTACAAGTACCTTTTGCATCTTGCCTGCATCTTGCCTTTTGCATCTTAGCAAGTACTTTTAGGAAAGAGGTGCTTCCTAGCTTTTAAATGAATATTCTCCGTATTATGACTCCCTTTACTTTCTTTCTAATTTCAGACTTTGTTGATGGACCTGTACACCACAAGGCCTTACTGATTTCTGTGACTGTGTGTAGTTTGCTCTTGGTCTTTATCATTGTGTTCTGTTACTTCAGGTAAGTTTCTAACATGTAGATGTAGAGTCTTGAGTCTGAGGTATCTTCCTTATACGTCTTTATATATTCTACCTGCGTTTGCCCGGCGATGTTTTTCACCACAGCTTTCTTTAACCCAATTAGATTTTATATTTAATGGAAAACATCCGTTAACTATTGACAGATATTTACCCCAGTGAAGTTGTAAATGGATATGTATCTCATTTCTGCCTCAGACATTAAAACCACACAGATAAATTTCATCCCTAGGGAATTTAGGGTAGTTAGGGAATTGAAGGTGGTTGCCACTAAAGTTTGCTTCTAAGCAGAGTAACAGCTCTGTTGAACTTAACTCTAGTAATTCCTTATTTCCTGCGCTAAAAATTTCCCCCAGTATTGAAAGATTGTAAAGATAATTTGTAGATAAATTATTTTAAAAATCAGTTCAGTTATACATGACCATTGTGAAGTATGCTGGTTACAAATTATTTTTTGTCACCTAACAACGTATTTCCTAGTTTGTGAAATATTGAGGACCTTTTAAACTCATCCTTTGCTTTTCGAACAATTTAATACTCATTTATGTTTCTAATACTGCTCTTCAAATGGGTAGATTAGTTGATTCAAATAAGTTTATTTCTCATGGAAGATATTGCAATTATTGACAAAAAAGTTTAATTTTATTTCGTTATGTGTTATTTCCTTATATATTACCTTACAGGAGAGAGTTAACTTTAATGTCCTTTGTAAATAAAAAATTTGCATCTTTAATGGATTAAGAGCTTTAAAGGTAAAGATTTTAGGGAATGAATACTAGAATTGTATAAAAACACTAACAAAATGCAGTCCGCTTGGATATATGCGATTTAAAGGAATAGAAAAGACAAATTGTAGATGGTTGAGACTGAGTAAAAAGATGTAGTTCAGCTAAAAAATATAGGTTGGCAAAATAATGGTAATTTTTTTTTTTTTTTTGGAAACCATATCTGAGAGTAGCAAATATCTAAGCATGTAATCTTGTATTTCTGTGCTAAAATAAAATCTGCTATGATTACTATTTTATCTGCAGTGTTTTATACCTATCACTGCGTTCCACTGACTAAAATTATTTTCTTTTTTCCATCTTTAGGTATAAAAGACAAGAAACCAGACCCCGGTACAGCATTGGGCTAGAACAGGACGAGACATACATTCCTCCTGGAGAATCCTTGAGAGACTTAATTGAACAGTCGCAAAGCTCAGGAAGCGGATCAGGGCTCCCTCTGCTGGTAGGAGAAGAACATAGCTTGAATTTAAAGGAAATAGCCTCTGAAAGGAAACGTCAGGAAATACAAGGTGTCTTTTTACTGAAACAAACAGGGCACTGGACAGGGAAGAAGCTCCGTGCAGACAGTTGGACGTCAGATCTCAGATGCAAGGCTTTCTGATAACATTTTTACATATGAGGTTGGGGGAGTAGGGAGGTAAGGTGATTGTTTTTAATGTAAGTGTATGGGTACAATCCAGACCCTCAGCCATTCTGATAAAGAGCTGATTAAAAATCATTAAACATGGAACCATTTTCCCTCTGTTTTCGGTAAGGATTGCGTTACTGCACTTTGGCCTGGCTTTTGAAGTCAAAAGTATTAAAACCAACTGGGATCTGAGTGTTTCTGCAAAGGAAAAAGGCTGTATTTCAGCTGTGGGTTTATGTTTCAGGGTGAAGTCCTGGCTTTTCCATTTAGGAGAGGTTTAATTTTCTGACAGTCAAAACTGTCAGCCTTGAAAAATTATATGCCTAATTCAAGGCACTTGCTTTAATCAGAAAAGTGTTTGGTATGTTTATAGACCATGCCCCCCCGCTCCCCCCCCCAAAAAAAAATTATTGGGACGTAGAATGTAAACAGCATTTTTAATGAGAAATAAATATTTTCTTTAATAAACTCTTTAAGATTGATTTTCCTAATCTTTATTTTATGGTTCTGACTTTGTATATCTTATGTACTTGATTCCTTTGCTGACCTTTTATTTAGTACTAAAAGTAACATTTTTTAGACCAGGCAGAAAGCAATGTGTAATGAGTTATTATGAGCAAACTGATGCTACTTAAGAGTTTTTTTCTTTTTCTTTTTTAATTTTTGGTAAACATTCTTATTATCAAATTAATATGTAGCAAATACGATTATTGTATTTTAAAATCTCTATAGTATGGTACATTAAAAAAAAGAAAATTACACATAATAAAATCTCCTTTGATGTTAATGAATCAGATGCTCATGCTCTTAGAATTGAAACTAATTTCCGTGTTTCCCCCCTTCCAACCCATCTTTCTCATTTCTGCAGAGTTATGTCTCTAAAATCTTTGATGTTATTATGTAGGTGCTCTGGTTGCGCAGTGGTTAAATCACTCGGCTGCTAATCGAAAGGTTGGTAGCTTGAACCCATCAGCTGCTCCATGGGAGAAAGATGTGGCAGTCTGCTTCCTTAAAGATTTACAGCCTTGGAAACCATATGGGGCAGTTTTACTCTGTTCTATTGTGCTGTTATGAATTGCAATAGACCTGACGGCAATGGGTTTATCATGTTACTTCCATGGATAAAAGCATTCTCATACCCAATAATACTATGGCTTCTCTTTCTTCACTTGGCATGCATGGTGTGTAAACCCACACTGTCTGCCCAACCTCTCCTCCCACCTCTCCTTTACCTCCTTCTTGAGCTCTAGAATCACCCTGAAGTAATTGTTTCTTAAGTACAACTTATGTTTTTAAAGTCCATATCTTTGCCAGTGCAGTTTCTTTATGGAGTGTTCCTTTGACATATCCCTGAAGGCCTAGCTCACATTTTACTTCTGTGCTAACATCCCAGTTACCCCGACTGAGCCAGTCCCTTTTTCAGCTGTCATAACATTTTTTTTCCTAACAATTTCTGCATGTATAATTTAATGATGTTATTACATTGTTCAGGTTGTGCAACCATTCTCACCATCCTCTTCCAAATTATTCCACCACTATTACCACAAACCCAATGTACCCTAAGCAAAAACTCCCTCTTTCCCCCTTTCCCCCACTCCTGGTAACTACTACTAACTTTTGCTTATTTCATATAAATGAGATCATAACAATATTTGTCCTTTAGGGGCTGACTTGTTTTGCTTAGCATGTTTTCTAGGGTTCATCTATGTTGTAGCATGCATTAGGACTTTATTTCTCTTTATGGCTGAGTAATATTTCATTGTATGTGTATACCACATTTTGTTTATTCATTCATCTGATTATGGACATTTTGGTTATTTCCAGCTTTTGGCTATTGTGAATAGTGCTGCAGTGGATACTGGTGTGTATGTGCCTGTTCCCATTGCTGCTTTCAGGTCTCGTGGATGTATACCTAAGAGTGGAGTTGCCGGGTCATATGATGGGAGTCACTAAACTGTTTTCCACAGTGGCTATACCATTTTACATTCCCACCAGCAATGGATGAGGGTTCTTGTTTTTCCACAGCCTTGCCAACACCTAAAGTTCCCCTTCACCTCTTTTTTTTTTTTTTTAAATCATTGCTCTTCTAATGAGGGTGAGATGGTATCTCATTTGGTTTTGATTTGCATCTCCCTGGTGGCCCAGTGGTTAAGTGTTTGGCTGCTAACCAAAAGGTCAGCAGTTGGAATCTACCAGCCACTCCTTGGAAACCTTATGGGGGAGTCCTACTGTGTCCTGTAGGATCACTGTGAGTCAGAATCAACTTAGTGGCAATGGGTTTGGTTTTTGGTTAATGGCTAATGAAAAGGAGCCCTGGTGGCACAGTAGTTAAGTGCTTAGCTGCTAACCAAAAGGTTGGTAGTTTGAAGCCACCAGCTGCTTCACGGGAGAAACGTGGCAATCTGCTTCCGTAAGGATTTGCAGCCTTGGAAACCCTATGGGGCAGTTCTACTCAGTCCTGTAGGGTCACTATGAGTCAGAATCAACACAACGGCAATGGGTAATGGCTAATGACTTTGAGCATTTCATGAAAAATGTGCTGGTTGGCCATTTGAATATTTTCTGTGGTGAAATGGCTGTTCATATCCTTTGCCCATTTTTAAGCTATCATAACATTTTTCTGTTACTACTGAAATAGCATTTTAAATTTGTAATTGGGATTAGTATGTCTGTGTCTTTTGACCTGTTTAAGTTTAGGACATGATTTCTTTAAGGTTGGGACTACATTTTATTCAATTTGTATCCCCAGTCTTGCTGTCTGACCCATAGAGAGGATAATAATTGTTTTAAGAACTTCTAGCTCCTAGTTTTAATATCTTTGGAAAAGCTACCTTGTTTCTGTAATCTCGTTCTTGTTGTTGTTGTTAGCTGCCCTGATTCATGGCAACTCCACGCACAATGAAACGAAACACTCCTCAGTCCTGTGCTCTTCCCATGATCTGTTACTGGTTGGGCCATTGTGATCCATTGGGTTTTCCTTGGCTGATTTTTAGAAGTAGATCGCCGGGCCTTTCTTCCTAGTCCACCTTAGTCTGGAAGCTCCTCTGAAACCTGTTCAGCATCATAGCGACATACAAACCTCCACTAATGGCTGGGTGGTGGCTATGCCTGAAGTGCATTGGCCAGGAATCAAACCCTGGTCTCCCACATGGAGGGGGAGAGTTCTACCACTGAACCACCAGTACTTATTTCTATAGTCTAGATACAAAAAATATCATTTGGATCACATTATATAATGGGTGAAAATACAGATTTTCGAGTCAGATTACCTAGGTTCCACTCCTGGTCAGACACTTTTCTCAGACTTTTCAAAGATGATCTCATTTAATGCTCATAGTAACCCTGTGAGGTAGTACTAGAAGTATATCCCCATATTACACCCAGGGAACGTAGACCCAGAGAGATCAAGTAGCTAGTGCATGGAGAAGCCAGGATTGGAACTCAGGTGATCTGCTCCAGAATCTGTGCTTTAACAATTGTGATATGTGAACCAAGTGCTTGTGGGAAGGAAGACTCTATAAAACCCAGTGTGGTAGCTTTGGTAAAAAAAGAAAAAGATGGAATATTTCAGATTTCAGATCTGATTTTAAGATTTGATTTCTAAGATAAACAATGCAGAAGTGTGCAGTAGTCTCTCCATGTATTATTACATGAGCGAATATCTCACTTTAATATTTATTTATTTATTTTGTTAACACAAGAGCAACTTTATATATAAATGTATGCTTAAACCTAGTGTTTACCAAATGACTTTATATCTGTCCTTTAATTTTGGACTTTCTCATTTATAGTAGAATATCCATTTTTTTCCTTCCTCAAAAGAAAGGAATATTACACCATTCTAAGATAGTGATATGTTGGTGTATGTATCTGTAAACAAAAAAAAAAAAAAAAACAAAGCTATTGCTGTCAAGTCAATTTCTACTATAGTGACCCTGTGACAGAGTAGAACTGCTCCATAAGGTTTCCAAGGCTATAAATCTTTCAGCCACATCTTTCTCCCAAGGAGTGGCTAGTGGGTTTGAACCGCTGACCTTTCATTTACCAGCCAAGCACTTTAAACACTATGCCACCGGGGCTCCTGTATATGTGTATATACCTGTCTATATCTGATGTGCTGTATTTATTATCTATCTGTCCATCTATTCATCTATCATCTGATGCTATCATTTGTCTATCATCTCTGTCTGTCTGCCTGTCTGTCTACCTGTCTCCTACCTACCTACGAACCTACCTGCCTAAACTTACTAGCTCTCTGTTGAGTTGACTCGGACTCATTGCAACCACATGTGTGTCAGAGTAGAACTGTACTTCATAGGGATTTCAGTGGCTGATTTTTTAAAAATAGATCACCTGCCTTTTCTTCTGAGGTGCATCTGTATTGACTTCAACCTTCATCCTTTCAGTTAGCAGCCGAGTGTGCTAACCATTTGCACCACTCAGGGACTCCATATATATTAATATCAATACAGGAAATAACACATATACACACACACATGTATACACACATGTATGCACGCATACAGAGGAGAGAGAAATGGATGCCTAGCATGTTATTTAACATATAGTATGTATTCAATGAATAGTAACTATTTTACTACTGTTATTTATACCCTATTTATCTGACCTTATAAAGGAACAGAGTATGAAGTAAATTCTTAAATAATTAAAATTTAATCCTCTTAAAGAGAAATCTTTTGTGAAACCTTTCCAATTGTAATATTAACTCAGACTTATTAGGCAAACTATTTTAAATAGGATATTTCTATACGGGGGTGTGTGTGTGTGTGCAATTCAGGGACATATTAGAGGAT